CTTTAATTTTATCTCTTAAACTCTTTGTGAGCCAACCTCATTTTTTACTTGCAGCTACCGTTTTGTTCCTAAAAGGAATATGTTTACCTTTAATATTTAAACATTTGCCACTTCTGTCTCCAAATAACTTAGCTTCCCAATTCACAACAGATAATTCTTGTTGCATCCCTTCAAAATTTGTAACCAAAATATAATTTACCCCACAGACTATTCTATCCACATGCCTTATCAAAGAATCACCTATAACTATAACCTCTTTACCATCCACATCCTTCTCTGACCCTTTTGTTTTCCTTCCCTCCAATAGTTCCTTGTCAGTAGACACTAAGGGCTGAAATTTGTTGCTCAACAGAATAGGCTCATTATAACTACATTCATTACTTTTACTCTAATAGTACTCTTTCTAACTTCCTGAATATCATTATTAGTTGATGTATCCCTTGCATGTAAAAGCTTAAGCTCCTCCTGAAATCCTGCTGTCATTTCCCATAATCTTCACTTCTCTTTATCTGTTGCATCTACTTTAATCATGATTGCCTTTAACTTTTCCTCCAACCTACAAACTCTACATAAAAATTGTATATCTTCATTACTACTACTAGCTTCCTTAAAATTACATTCCAGTCCTGAATTCCCAAATATAAAACTCTCTCCTTGCACCCATTACACCTAACAAAGTGTGAATGCTTAACTCCTACACTAGTCTTAACCATTGTATTTATACTGTTATAGCCTGAAAGTGAAAATAATACTCAATACCAAATACCAGTAGCTTATTGTTAAATCCTATTTCAGTGCTGGTGAGAGTAACATTGTTAATGGAATGACCAGGTTGATTAAAGTGTTGATCAACAGGGATATCTTTTTCAGTGTTAATAGAAGATTTATGGCTGTTGAAATGTTCTTTAACATTTGTTTGTGTATGTCCTACATATTTGTAATAGAATTTTTTACACTGTATAAGGTAAATGGTGGTAAATGGTAAATGATTGTGCTTGTCAGAAAATGAGTCATTGTTTGAATGTCATCCTGTTCAAAGTAAATATGATTTACACATTTGTGTGCATGTGTGGAAACTTTATCAAAATTTGGTTGAACTTGGATATCCACACAATGGAATGCTAAATTTTGTGAACTTTTAAATGTTCTTGTAATTCACAAAGATGAATGAAGTATGAGGAGCTTTCTAGAGACTCTCAACTTCTATTTCAGCACAAAAATTAAGAAGTGGGATAAAGAATTATAACTTTGAATGATTCATTATCTATGATTAATTTTTTCAGTATAACCTAGTAAATGTTATTTTCACTTTCTGTTGCATCACTAGTCAGTTTTGAATAGTTTCAAACATTAAGAATTAGTATCGTTTATGTGTGAGAAACACATTATTAAGAAAGATTTAATGTCTATAACTGAATGTAATTCTTTTAACCTAAATGTTTGTTTCAATAATTTCAGTTAGGAAATATAGTAGAACTCCATTTTTCCTAATGCTTTGCGAGATGAAAATCACCAGATATGTGAAATCCATGGATATATAAGATGTCATTCCATATGATTAGAATGCATCAATAAAGTGTAGATAACAGTAGTATAAACCAAAACAACATGTATTGAAGATGTCTCCAAAGCAATTTTTAAAAAAAAACTTGGCAATTTCTGGTTTCTGCTTCAGACTTAGAACTACTAATTTATGTTTTAAGCCTGCTATTTCAGTAAATATACTGTCCAAGATGGCACTGGTTGACTAGGTAATAATGTAATATATTGTAGAATGAAATATACATTTTCTGTTGTGTGATGCACACACGCATATTATGTCTTCATTGGCAATACAACAGTGAAACTAGGCAGAGGACCAGAGATGAACAGGGCATGGATAAATGAGGTTTTACTGTATTTGCTGTCTTTTCAGAGTTACATAGCCACATATTTCCATTTTCAGCTGTATAACTGTATACCAAAAAGTATATGTATTTCTTTATTTGCAGTGCATAGTGTGGTATATTATCAAGACAACTGTTCATGCAGTCAACTACCAAGTAAGTAAATTGCTCTGTGTGTTCTAATTTGTAGTAATTATCCATATTTTCCAGTATGACAGTAGACTACCCTTGCATTTCCAGTATGAAACGATGCATTATTTTTAATGACAGAATATAAATATAGTTTGGATATTTTTTTTTCTTTTTCTTTAGTATTACTTTAGTTTTAACTTCAATTTATAACAATCTTCATCAGTCTGTAATTGTTTTTTGTATTAACTGTAAAATGATCAGGTGTTTCAACTGGATATGCATGTTGTATGGTTTGTTTTATTGCATTGTGAAAAAATAATTACTGGATCAAATAGTTTGAAACTTGTGATGAACTGCAAATAAATTATCTTAATTTCATATTTGATAGTTCTAGAAATTCACAGCTTTGAGATTTTAAAAATCGTTTTTAAAGAAACAAATAAAAATACATTCCTTTTAATATTAAAAGTTTTGCCTTGATTGAATTTTAATTGTTTTCCTTTGTTTAGGTATTTCGACTACTGATGTTTGTTTTCCTACATCCTTTTAAAACTTTGCAATACAGTTTTTATTTCATGAAACTAAATCTTATTTTTGTTTTGATTAGATAACTACTGCACACAATTTCACTCTATTTACAATTACTGCATACAATAACAAATAACTTTTTTACCATACCAAGCTGACTTTTTTTTTAATTGTTAATCAAAACTTTTAATGTATGTATTAAATTTTTAACTCATTTTGTATTCATTGGTGTAGGTATATTTTTGTATTTCTTTTTGGTGGTTTTTTTTCTTTTTTGACCATTCAAGCAGTTACTTTAGGTAATATGGCTTTATGTAAACACTACTTATCAAGTAGCAGCTTTGTAAGCAAAAATTAACTTGATATAGTCAAGTGTAAAATGATCTAACTAAGCCTACCTTGTCTTCTTCCATGAAAAACTTTTCCTATTATACTGCAACATCATAATCGAAATGAAATATAAAATGATAAAGGAAACTTTGTATGCTTTAAAAAAACCCATCAGGACTGTAATTGTAGCAGAAGTTGTTCCCAAACATTTCGCAGTGTATCACCAAGTTAAGCTTTTATAGCTTTGTTCCAATCTCTATGAGAATCCCTGCTGAACTGGAAGGTATGCTGGCTTATACGGTTAAAAATAATAGAAAAAGAGCTTTAAGTATGTGTTTAGAATTTAGATCACTAGCCTATGATTTTTTTAAAGCTGTTAAAAAGCAGACTACATAACAATCATGGTTCG